GGAAAGAAGAACTTGAATTATCAGATGAAAGTCGAACATATCGTAAAATGGTAAAAGAACGATGTTTGTACACATCATCAAGAAGAAATATGATTCGATCAGATAATTCGTATGCTGTAACAACAGAAGGAGATTTTATTCGCATTATAGAATTTATTATCGATATTCCAACAAGGAAAGAGTACACTATCTGTCATTTAGTGATTAAAGAAGATATTTTTAATAACAATTCTTTACCATTGAAAAAAGTTGTAAATATTTCTGATAATTTAATAATAAAAGACACTAACAGCATTGAAAGAGTTTGCGTTTTTATGAATATAGATAACATGATGTATATATGTCCAGTGCCGAATCTGTATTTTTATTAATCGTTTTTTACGTATAAATGAGAATTATGATGTTATAAACAAATGGCGATAATTTAAGTAACAGATTACATGTTTGGAGGCCTTTTTGTTATTTAATAAAATGTTTCTAAATTCTTCGTGATAAAATTACATGATTTCGTTATGCGATTTAACTGATGAAAACTGATGAAAACTCTTGAAAATAACGTTATTAATTATGCAATTAAACAATTTAACGGGTATTTTCAATAGAGAATACACGCAATTCTGGCTTAAACGCCTGAATTTTTTGTATGTTTTTAGTTTTTATATGCAAAATGTTTTATTAAAAAAAAATGTTTTCATATAATTAAGATATCACAATGTAATTTTATTGCTACATTTATCGAGACTACATAATGTAATTCCATTACTACATGCAAAATTAATAAACATATCTAAATCAAAATTTGTATATTTTTTCGTTTTTCTATTTCTATCATTCAGCTCTTTAAAATATGATTGCTATAAAATCACATGATTTTTTAACATTACATGATTTTTCAAACCATGTAATTTTCAAAAATCATGTACTGATTTGGAACATTTTATTACGTGATTTACTTAGTCATTAATTACGTGATTTTGTTATGTAATTTTATCACTTGATTTTATCACGTGATTTTTTTCAGTAGGGATGATAATCCATACATTTTATAAAGTAATAGAGGATAATAATTTTATAACAATTTATGACCAAATTATAATTAAAAGTACTGAGGAAAGAATTGAAATTGAATTTAGAACTAAAACGTGTAATAATATTCGTGTAAATGAATGTGATTCATGTGTAAAAAGAAAGATGATGTTTATATTGATTTCCTAAGAAGGTCGAAGCAACTGAAGAACCTCAGAATTTCTCGCAACGTAAATCCACAGTAGTTTACATTTTATTTCAAAATTTTACCGAATTTAATGGTTCAATTAGAAAAATAAAGGTAGAACATTTTAATATAAATATTCATTACAATCATAATAATTAATTAATGTTAGACGAATTAAGAGAATATTGTATTTTCTGACAATAGCCAATTTGAATGTTTAACAATCTCATTATAAATATTTGCCAAATCATTAACATACATCACACAATTTAAATTAATGCGATTAATACATTCAAATTATAATATATAAATTATAACAGTCAATTGTATAAATAATCGTTAAATATCGATAAATATAAAAATCAAGAGACAAATTTTAAAAATTTAGTAAAATTTTACGATAGCCACGTATCGGTTTTATTACGACAAAACAATTAATCAAAATCTTAAAATATAAAATTTAAAAAACTCTGCAGATCTAATTAAATAACAATATTAACAATTTTATTACACCAAGACTTATAGTGATATCAAAATTTACGAAGACAAAACAGTAAAGAAATTTGCAAAATTTGCTAGTTTAATAATAATGAGAATAATATAAATCATAAAATAAACAAACTAATAATGTAAAGCAATGTAAAGCGAATAAACAAACTAATAATGTAAAGTGATATTCAACTATTTCAAGAAAAGTAGACATTAATTTCAATTTACTCACCTTGCCAAGTCGAGATCCGTTCGCTTCAACGTTCTGTACACAATGGGCGGTATTCATAGTCCGTTCTTATATTTAAAATCGTCTTAAGCACGGACTTATATTCGCTCTCTTCGTCACACATAGATTGTGTCTGACGAAGAGAGCGAATATAAGTTCGTTCTTAAGACGATCTTGAATATAAGAACGGACTATGAATACCGCCCAATTACAGTTGATATTGATAGTTATTGGCTTCGGGAGACTTCCCTTACGGCCATATGAGTCGGTACGCGCTTGCGCGATAGAAAAAGCGGTATTTTAGAACGGTAAGACGTAATATGATGATGCAATCCTTTGTTTTGAAATAACCTAATTTATATGGTTTATATGGTTCACTGATTACTGATAATTTGTATGGTATTGATTATTATGTGTAATGTGTAAGTGTGTTAGTGTATTTGTGTGTGTATGACCGCAATGTGTGAGCTAAAGTCCGTGAGTTTGCTAAGCCCAAATGTATGTGCGGCAGTGATGCGCTGTCGTTTTTTCCCGTACGGAACCTCCGTGCGCATGCGTAAGCTGACGTCACAGCTAGACGTCGGCTGCTACCATTGAGTAAAAAGAAACATGAGGGAGCGTTTGGTCGTAAAAGTTCGGACGGAAGTGACTATATAAAGTGGTCGCTCAAGATGGCCGCTCAAGGGCGCCAATATTGAATGACTTGTTATGTTTAATTAGGAAATAATGTACAATTAAAAGAAAATAACTATAATATGCAACAATAATACCAAATTTTAATGGCGTTTTTTATTGGGATTGCACTCGTGCAGTATTTCCATAAGAGCAATGTTAAAATCTAAAATCTAAATTTATATTAAATCCTTCGTCCTTACAAAAATTTATCCATGCATTTCTTTGATCCGGATTTTACGGAAACCTGTTTGTGAGTGAAAATTATTTAGTAATTATTGTGAATCTACAATTTCACAATACTATACATATGATTATAATCTCCAAAATAAAAATCTCATTATTGTTAATAATACTAATCGATGAAACGTTATTCCATGATTTCGAGCTGCTGCCGTTATGCCACAAGCTCTACAGTATACCATTTTGATCGTTTATTTCCATACACTGTTGCATAAAAGACTATACACTGCATATTAATGCGTACGGCGTACGGTATGCCGCTTGCCGCTATGCTCGAGCATTCCCTCTCACTTTCAAAAAGTGGTCGCTCAAGATGGCTGCCATGACGTACATCCATCCGCGGATTTACCTAGTCCTGGCTAGTATATGCTCCCTCCTGTTTCTTTTTACTCAATGAGCAAGACCGCTTACAAATGTGCGAAACATCATGGCATTGCATATGGAAGATTCTGCATTCCGAAATTGATTTTAAAAAATTTGCAATCTTAAGCCTAATTTATATCGTACGTTATTTACGAAATTAGTAATGGAGGATTCACACTGCGTCCGACGTACGACGTCCGGTATCCGATAATAGAACTTGTTTTCTAAACGATAAATTATCTCTAGCTAGAATTTCTAGAAAACAAGCTCTATTATTGGATATCGGACGTTGTACGTCGGACATCGAACGCAGTGTGAATCTTCCATTACTTTTGATGTAGTACAATATGGAGGCGCTTTAGATGTTCCTTACTCTTTCAAGAATTATAACTTCTTGGTCATGATTTTCTAGGTTTTGTTCAATGGTTTAATCGTTAATGGTTTAATCGACTTTTTAGAGTTTTCAAATGGAATAAAGCTTACAATAACTGAACAATTTAATGAATTTTAGAATAACTAAAGTAAAGGTTTTGTTTCAGCAGTACGTTACGATTTTCATATGTTAATACAAAAGCATTCAAAATATATGTAGAATTTATTATGTGCATTATTTTTCAGATTGAGAAGACGTAAAGGTTATAAAACTGTCATTATGGATACTAGTAGGCATTATATCAATGAATTTGAGGATTATTCCAGTTCTACGAGTCATAACATAGTCGACAATGATACTAATACAGTAAGACATTTAAACTTTATCTAATATACTATTCTGAAATTTAAAAATATTTAAATTTTTTAAAACAAAAGAGATTTTTAACAAAGGTGTAATTATTTATTGTTAGATTCATAAGGCATTTGATTCTTTATTGACATCAGAAATTACGAAATTAATAAAAATACTGAATGAAAATGAAAGAAAATGGCGTAACAGCAATGATTATTCTGTATATACTGGATTAGCAGGAATTGCATATACATTACATCATTATGGAAAATATTATAATGATTCGGTCTATACAAAGGTATTTTTAGTCAAATTAAATATGCTTTATTTTTATTTAAAAATATGTTCATGTATTACAATGTCTTATACAGACTGCAACAGAATTATTGGAAAAATGTAAAAAATATGCAAAAATCAAAAGCAGACCTGAAATAACATTCCTGATTGGTGTTGGAGGTCCATTTGCATTAACAGCAGTGATATTGTATTCACAAGGAAAGACAGAGGAAGCAAAAGAATTAATTCTTAAGTATGTGAATGTTTTATATTTAAAATTATTTCAAAATGCATTTTCATGAATTAAGTAATCCAGTTTTAAAATTTGTAGGTTGAAATCTTTATCAACTTATGTTTTGGACAAACATAGTAATGTTCCTGATGAATTATTATATGGAAGAGCTGGATATCTTTCTGCTTTGCTCTACATAAATGCTAATATATCTCCAGCTCCTATAGAAGCAGATCTTATCAAAAAGGTTTTTCTAAGAATTTTAGTACATTTGAAGGTTTTTCTAAGGTTTTTCAA